TTTCAGGGTGATGGGGTTCTCATCCGATTCTAAGGTTTTCCCTGCTAATTCTGGATTTGCATTTCCAACACAATCGCTCTTCATCGATGCGCTGCCGGCTGTGGTTGAGATGTCATCAGAAGACACGAGCTGTCTGTCCTCGTTACTCGACCCGTATGATGAGAGCAACTGAACCAAACCAGAGTTGCTCCAAACTGCAGTAGTCCCATCAAACTCCTTGGCTAACAACGAATACATCGCTTGACCCATGATTTCATTTTCCTCCGCTGTTGATGCAGCTTGTTTCTTGAGGGAGTCAGGAATCGTTTTTTCAACCGCTTCAAAGAATGCAATTTTAGGATCAATGCGTGTTCGAAAGCTTTTTTCTGCTCCTCCTAATTCGAGAAGATCTTTGACGGAAAGTAAGAGCGGAGCCCAAGGGAGTTTCTCGGGTTCGTCAAAAGAAATTTTTTTCATATCATTCGCAAGAGACGGCGGGAAAAATGTGTCCCTGGATTTGATGGATCTGTGTCCAAGCGTTCCATCAGGGTGAATCTCTGGCACGGACTTGTTTGGATTGAGGTGCATTGAAATTTTGGAATCTTTTGCTAAAAGAGCAGTTTCGGCTCTAGATTGTCGCTGATAGAGATACTCGAAGTCGATGGTCTCTTTCCCGGGTGTCGGACGGGGAGAGTCAAGAGGTTTGTTTTTTTTGAAGGGGAAAGGAATCTTGAAGCCGGATCGCTGATCCGGAATTTCAGAGTTTTTCTCTGAGCTGGATACTGTGCTGTTTATTTGCTCCGACTTTTTTCTAAAAAATCTTGTCCTTTTCACTGCACGCTCAATTGTTGTGGCGGAACGCTCAATTGTTGATGCTGAACGTTTGAAAAAGGAACGTGATCCTACAACCGTTGCGCTCAGACTGCGGGTCAGTCGCTGTCCTAATGGATTGGCGTTACTGAGTGAACGGCCACGTTTCGGCTCTTGCTTGTTTTGATCCGAAAATTTTTCACATTCAGCCTGCAATCGCTCCGTTTGAAAGGACTTGATAGCACCAGGCAAGTTCTCGTGGTGAAGAGCGGAGAACAGGTTGAGCTGGAACGCCATGTGAGAGGGATCCTCGTGGTCATTTGGATTCGCTATCTCATGAACAACTAATGGACCTGGCTCAGCGTTATAATCCACGGACATGCAGTGAACCACCTTATGGTCTGTTCATATGAAAACGCAAAAATCAAAGAGTTTTCTTCGTTTCTGGTTCAAGAGCTTGCGCCATTGTGTCGAGCACCCTGCAACGAATACGTAAGAGAAGAAGAACAATTGGTATGAAATACCCATCGATCTGCGTCTGGTGTTGAATCAAAAGAGGACGCAATAGTTTAGTATAGATCCGTAGGGCTCCCTGGAAAGATTAAAAGATTAGGAGATTGGTCATCAAGTTGAAAAATTCTCACTTTGAACTGAGGCAAAAGTAACCTGAAAGAAATTAAAGAGAAGAGGTTGAAATCTGAAAATGAATGTTTACCACAACAGAAAAGCGATCTTGAGCGGGTAATAAAATGGAACCCAGAAGAAGAGCAGGTCGGAAAAAAGCTCGACAAGATGGAGAGAAGCGTAGACAACCCAGTAGGTCAACCATTGACGATCATCATCTGGGGACGTCGTTTCAATTGCTTTGAATGATTGCCATGCTGGGTAGAAGAATCCAACGCAAGCACTAGAAAATACATGAATCTATACCAAGAGGAGTGTCAATGCGTACGTGATAATTTTATCGAGTATTCCGAAGGCTGAAAGAAAAATCAAGAGAATTCCGACGGGGACCAAAAATGGAGGAACGCCAAAGAAATCAGCCAAAGTGTTCAAAGTGCGTTCCGTCTTTTCCTTAATGCCTCCTTCAGTAAGGATTACTTTTCCTTTTTGCATCAGTGTGGCAAAAATGTCAGTAATTGCGTCACCCGCTTGCTTAGCAGCTCCCTTGAGCCTCGCTTCCTCATTTTTGGGTGCCATTGACCTGAAATCACTCTAAATTTGAAATTCTTAATTCTCCGATTGCATGTTCGATCAAGAATTTTTTCAGCCGCGCTTCCCGGCGGCAATTGGGAGTGTTGGTGGACAATAAGAGAAAACCTTCATTAAAAAGACACAAGAAGAATGCAAACCATCAATTGCCCATGAGCTCGAAGTCATCCCGTTCATTTTGAAACTCCTTAATTTTCCTACACCAAAAAATAACGACATACCCATCAACACTTTATACCTTTTCATGCTTGACCCTTCTGCCCACGAAAGATTATCTTCCATTTCTCTTGTGACGTGAAGCGAAGGATCTGTCACTAAATTTGGCCCAATTCGAATATCTGAAGATCAGGACTAAGAATGAGTTGATGGAACTGTCCACTTACGCCCTCCTCTAATAACAGCAATGGCGTGCTCTATATTCTGAGCAAAATGCAATCTCACTAAAACAGCTGCTAATCTTCGGCGACAAAATGTTGAAGCAGATAGATGCTCTAAATCGGATAAACCGTTATTCTTATTCAGTATTCCCATCACAATCCTAAAAGAAGAAATGATCTTCGATGAGATTGTTAGACCAATCTTACAATTTGTTGATCAATTGTTGGGTCATCTTCATCCTCATTGAGTCATCTGTTGCGATAGTCTTTAATTCAGCGACAAGCTTGGTGATTAAACCACAAATCTTATTCAACCTAAATCACCAATCATAACATTTAAGAATTTCCCTAGTTCACAGTTGAAGTGAACCCAGACCTACTTGTGATAATCCTCACGATCTTCAATTCCATATTTATCCAAGATCTTCGCTTCTCGGCTGTTTTTGTCCCTCTTCCATTCTAGAAAATTGACTTTCTTCAGGAGCTTCTTTTCATGAAATTTTAACTGGCGCATCCTAAGTCGTTGAAAAAGGTACAGAATACAGAACAGGTACTCAGGTAAAAATCAAAGAACATTCATAGCGCTGGACGAGCTGCTGGGTCGAGGCATCTCTTTCTCGAAGCTATCGAGTCCCTTTTTCCCTTTTTTAGTTTCCATCATATGTTCAATCTTTTTCCATTCACGTTCAGTTTGTCTCTTCATAGCCCGGGCAGTCAATTTCGGTCTGTACGAAACAAGAGAACTTAAGCTGAGAAAAATAAAACTCACTTCTTCTTTTCTCCTCCAGCGTCGTTATCCTTCTGCGAGACACAAATTAACCACAAGAAACGTTTCAATCCACTCACCCCTTTCCGTTTCCTTTTCTTCCCTTCTTCTTCGTCGTCATCATCACTTCCTGCACGACAGCTCCAGCTAATTTCCATTCCCATTTCCGGATAACATTCATTATAATCATCGATCATGGCTTTCCGTTTTGCTTCTACAACTTCTTCACCTCCACGTTTTCTCACAGATTCTATTTTCCCAGCTAAACCATCTGGTAACAGAGGATCTACATCCTTATCACTTTCATCATCATCTTCCTCTCCAAAATAATTTCCACCTCTTCTTAATTCTGATACATTTGCTTCACCTTGTTCACTTTCTACTTTACTTATCATTTCTGAAGGATTGTATCCCCCAATTCCGCCAAATATATCATCATCATCATCCTTAGCCTTCTCTGTATCAGCCTCTTTCGGTTCGTCTTCTGTGAGTGGTGCATCCTTCCTGCCTATCCGCCTGGCACCCTTCTTATTCTGTACCGCCCACTCCAAAGCATCACTGATATCACTCAAAATCTTTTCATGAACCGGCGCGACGACGGAGTGGATCGCGCTCGAACCACTTCTGCTTTCGGACTCATAGAGAATCACCGGAACTCCTTCCCCATCTGGTCTTCCATTCCTTTCCCATCGGACATCGAATTGATAAATCATCTTTCCTGGCTTGAAGTTTTTCGTGTTCCCTCGAAATTGCGCTCCTCTTAAAACAACGGATTCAATTCTCTGTAACTTTTTCTGAAATGATGAATGATGGGGATGAACTTGTTCGATCAACTCGTTGCATATTCTCTTAACCAATGGTGACGTTGTTGTTGGACGCTCCGCTTGTTGAAGAGGAATCGCAATCCCATGCTGAGCTGCACGCTCTTCCATCAACTTTTTTCTAGTTTCTTCCTTTTTCTCAATTTCTGCTCGAACTTTCTCCAATAATCGATAATCCAATCCCTTGACTAAATGGGTGTGTTCTTCGTCACCTCCGAGGAATTTCGACTCCTCTTCTGTTCTCCCTTTAAGCAATTGATATTCTTGTGCAATCTTCGAATAGTCTCCAGCAGCATTCCTTCTCTCAGTTGCACGATCCCTCCATTGTGTCCCTCCATACGGCTCCTCTTTTTCTTCTGGCACATATTTCTCCCTTTGCTTTTTTCTTTTCAATATTTCCACATAACGCTGTTTATCTGCCGCTGTTTTTTTCTTTTTTGTCGGATTCCTTAGCTCTCCTAAAACATTCTTATCACTTTGGTTCAATAAACTGCTAAAATCCTTGTTAGTCTTTGACATCCTTCATTTACGGACCTTATGCCATTCTGTGAATTGGGACTTGATAACTGACTCATAAGACTACTTTCAAATTTCCCAAACGGCATGCCCAGAAATTAAGATTTATCAAGGATCCAAAGTTTGGTTCTTTTTCCTCGCCCCAACAGAATTTGTCGTCAAGGTCTCTTCATGGTTTATTCGCTCATCAATTGTCTCTGAGCGGCAATGGCTCTCAATTTTTTAGGTGCTCACGTTTATGGGGGCGGCCCAGCGCATCTTCTCACCAACCCAGCCCCTCGTTCTTGCGTTTATATTTCGTGTCTAAATATTCTCATAACAGCTGGAGCTTTCACTTCGATCCTCTATGGGAATTACGCCAATGCATCCTACGGCACCGAAGTCCCTCAGTACCTCCTTACAGTGGCTATAGCGAACTGCTACTCAGCGTTATATTTTGCTAGGCTGGCTGCTATGAGGGTTGGATCTGACAACGAATGGTCCAGAATTCTAGTAACAATGGGATTGCTAAATCTGCTTCAATACGGACTGATCATATGGGGCGCTTGGTTGTGCTATCGGATGTTCTATTCCAAGGCTTTAATAGGGACCCGCATGTATTACTATTTCCGGTTCGGCAAATGGATGTATAATTCGATTTTAGGCATTTCAGTCTTGAACTCTTATTGTATCGTTTATACATCATATGTCGCGCTAGTACGCATATTTGTGTCCCTGGTATTCCAGAGATCAAAGAAGAAATATGCGATATAGTGGGTTGTTTTTCCAATTTTCACGTGAATGAGAGCAAATCCATAACGAAAAGACTCGGCAGATTTCCCATTTTTTGTCCATTTATATCACGGGGGTTGTCATCACCATAAGCGAAACCAGATTCGCAACGACAGACGTTATCAAACTCTTATTCCCGTCCAGTTCGTTTACCTCTTTCTTGTTATCATTTTGTTCCACACCTGATGCATCCGCAGGGTCCTCCTTCCCTTCAACCTTTTTTTTCTGTGGAGATGCCTCGACGTATTGAGCGTATTCTGCTTTGAGGGGATGAGGACGTTCTCCAAGAACCTCACGCTACAGAATCAAATAAGCTCGAACTTTTCAGTCGGACTCTTACCAAGTCATTGAATGTAATTGTTTCCTCTCGCAACAATCTCTCTGTCAAGCTCAACAGCAGCTGGAAAAAAAGAAATATCCCGCAAATCCTTGATTGAGTTCTTACATCCTTTTTTTCAGTTAGAAGCGCCTTCACGCGACTATATTCTTGATCAATCAAATCTCGGACTTCAGTATCCATAAGCTACAAAAACAATCAGGATACCAATCGATTCCGTTACCTTTGAATGCTGACCAACCCGTCCATATATAAGCACTCACCTGAGCGAGCTTCTCCGAATACGGTTTATAATATTGTGCAGACTCCTCGCGGTTTTGGAAAGACATCAGACCAACCTGGAAGGGACCATTGAAAAAGAGACAAATGCAAATTATCATTCTTACCTTCGGATTGAAGCCCCACACGCATGTGAATGCATATGCAAGGCGCGTCACTTTGTCCAAATCGTCTTGAGCCCCAGTCGATATTCGACCGATATTTAATTCTTCAGAGACGCGGCCACCTACAAAACCCTATTCAAGACTCGCGGCCAAGTTTCAAGAAATCGTACCGAGAAGCACAGCGATCTTATCAAGGACCTGCTCGCGGGGTAAAAGTTGAACTTCCTCTGGTAAATTTTGTGCGAACCCCAATGCACCGTTCGTTCTTGGGACAATTGAAACTTTCAGAACAGGATCACCGTATTTCAGAAACCAACCAGCTACTGCGTGACCAGCTTCATGGAAAGCGATCACTCGACGAAGGTCCTGATTGATAAATCCAGTTGATTTTTTCATTCCCCCCAACACCCTTTCGCATGCATTTTCAAAATCCTGAATCGAGACTCCAGTTGCGTCTAAAGAACAAATGAGGACTTTTTGAAAATTTCAATGTGGCAAAGATCAGACTCACCTCGTCTCGCTGCATAAATAGCAGCCTCGTTGCAGACGTTCTGAATATCAGCTCCCACAAACCCCGGAGTGAGTGCTGCAAGACGTTTGTGAGTTTCTTCGGGATTGAGAGAAGTGTCTAGTTTAACGGGCTTCATGTGAATCTGATCAACATCGAGACATCAACTTAGATTCTCGTCTGTCAAACTCACTTTGAAAATTTCTGTTCTTTCCGCCAAATCCGGTTTTTCGATGTTAACAGTTCTATCGAAGCGGCCTGGTCGCGTTAAAGCAGGATCTAGAATGTCAGCTCGATTTGTTCCTGCCAATACAACGACGCCAGTGGATGTCGTGAATCCATCCATTTCAACGAGCATCTGATTCAATGTGTTCTCTCGTTCGTCATTAGCGCCCCCTGCGAAGCCTCCCTTAGCACGCTTGCGGCCAACAGCATCAATTTCATCGATGAAGATGATAGCTACAAAAGTATCAATCGGAAGGGGTGAGATTGGGGAAACTCACATGGCGAATGTTTTCGTGCTTGCTGGAACAAGTCTCTCACTCTCGACGGTCCAACGCCAACAAACACTTCTATAAAATCTGATCCACTCATTGAGAAGAAGGGAACATTTGCTTCTCCAGCAACTGCCTTGGCAAGTAGTGTTTTACCTTATGACAAACACAGATAGAAACAAAAATTGAGATGTGCGTACCCGTTCCGGGAGGGCCAACCAACAAAGCACCCTTTGGAATATGAGCGCCAAGTTGTTGATATTTCTTTGGATCCTTCAGAAAATCGACAAACTCCTTGATTTCATGTTTTGCTTCTTTCATTCCTGCAACATCTGAAAACTTGACTTTGACTTTAACGTCTTTTCCACTGACGGGGTTCGCTCGTCCCATTTTCAAAACTTGTTTGGATCGTTTGCGGCTCCGACGCTGGCGAGTCTTCTAAGCAGGAACACTGACACCCCGATGATGGCAATAGTTGGCAGGTAGGACATGAATTCGGCGAAGACATCCACCTCTTGCAAATGCTGAACCGGAACGAAGTCAGTTGGATGCAACCCCATCGCAAACTGGAAAGCTTCAAGCTTTGACTCAAAATGCTTCGACAGATCCGATTCGAAATCCGTACTGACCGTGAGAGGGAACAATTTCCTGTGGACAATCTGGACGCAACACGACTCGAGCAACTTCCTTGTTGATGATATCAACGCGTTGCACGTAGCCACGAGCTAGAAGGCTATTGAGGAAATGCTGCATTGTAATATGATTTGAGCCAGAAGGACGCAACGCGGGATTATCCGCTGAGTAACTCCAAAGCGCACAGAGAACCAGAAAGGAGATGAACGTTAGCATAGAGCGGGAAGAAGGCGGTCCACCGTTTTTTCCATCTCCTCCTCCGTTGCGCTTCTCGCCATCTGGCTCTTCAGAACGTTTTTCTGAGGCTTTTTTGTCGTCGCGAGCCTCTTCAGGAAAAAATTTTTCGAATCCTTTCGGGATCTTCGCGAAAAGTTGAGACTCAAGAGAACGGAGTAATCGAAATGAGTTGATCTTCAAAGTTTCAGAAACCGATGCAAATGCATTACTCATTGCTTCGAGAGAAGAAACTGAAGAAAAAGGGCGAGAGACTGAACGATTGAAAGGGAAGCCGTTGGCGGCTGCAATGGAGGAGGGGAACGGACGGTGCGCAAAAGAGAAACATTGCGCCGAAGAAGAGAGAAAAACTGGAGGTGAACTTTCTTGGTGGGGCCTTGAGTTTTTCAAGGAGGGAGAGGACTGCTGGATGTGTTTCGCCTTCAAATGCCTGTTATATCTCTGAGGGAAGCGAACTGATGCCATAGCCCTTGTACAATGAAACCGAGATGGCTGTTTCAGGAGGCGAATTGAGGCAGCCATGAGAGCCTTCGATTTGGGCAAATTCCACATGAGGAAAATTGAGATTCACTCAAAGAGACTGTCTTACAAGAAAGTACCAAACATGGCCGAAAAATTGACTGTGGATCATAGGAGTTAAAGAGAACAGATGGTGAAGGACCTCTATCCACCAAAAAACCGATATCCATTATGGAAGTCGAAGATGACCGCCAAGTTGTTCAAACCACGGCAAACACATTCTCTCTTAAATAGGGAAGAAAGGTTGATCAGCTACATGCAGAAGGTGAAGTACTGAAAAAGTATGAAAAAAAATTTCTAAGAATCAGGAGTCTTTCCTCGATTTTGAGCTCTCTTGCGACGGAGACGATAGAGAGGCTTGGGAATGACTTCATCAAGGATCAAGTTGAGCATACCCCACCCAATTGCAAGAGAGTATTGCCTGACAGAGACGCGCAGATGAGTAACTCGCAACATATTCCATACCACCATTGAATTGGAATTGTGCCAAAGATCGAATTAAGTCCTGGAATGATTGTGATAATGAGCGTTGAAACGGCGGAGAAAGAACAGGCAAGATGCATCCATGGATTGCGATTGAGGACCTTGTGGAACGAGTCCCAGGAACGCACAGTCAACGCGCGAAAGACTTCGCAATACACTGCAGTGATGAACGTCTGGGTTGTGGCGATGCGAGAGCCACGTGTATTAACATAAATGTAGCCCTCAGGGATGCTCTCTTTGCTATCAGGGCGGCACCAACCATCGCAACCCTAACGATAGAGAATGGGAGGGAACAGTAATAATTGCCCTACAGTGTTGATCCCAAAATCCTCTGGAGTTAATTGGGTGGACGACTTTCCGGGCCGAACTTTCAGAAGCTGGATGAATTTCTTGTTGATGGGATCCCAATAGTCGATCGACGTGTGAAACCCTGCGCTCCCTGCTGGAGGAGTTTGAAATTCGGGAACAAATTCAGCGGATTGGCAATAATACGGAATATCGTTTCCATAGGTGTAGCACTGGTTGTTGATATCCTTGATCAATATAGACCCTGAATGGGAAGTTGAAGCACATCTATAAGAATTTCTTACCTGTGCTTAAGTACATGGCACTGACGAGGCACCCAATAACGCATGCGGCTTCAAAGAGAGTGTGCGGGATGTTCCCATACAGCCACCAATGCCACGTCATTAAATGCTCGTTTTTCTTGCGGGGTGGTTGCTGCATGGTGTCTGAATCTGCAGGCTCACGCGCTAAAGCTGCGGCAGGACCGGCGTCGCAAATGAGGTTCTGCAAAGAAGCCCCGTGAGAGGAAAGCATGCTATTGTCTCATACGTACAAGGAACAAAATTTGAAGGGCCTCGACTGGCATTTTCATTCCCGCTTAAAAGAGAACGGCGTATGTCGAAAACACACACGCACGCGTGAACATACCCGCAATGGCGATCGTTAAATAAATAATTTCACCAATATTCGTTCCCAATAGAAAGCAAACGAACTTCTGAATATTAGCATAAATATGTCGGCCTGAAAATTAACTCAAAAGTAATTGGGAAATTCAATTCTCACCCTCTTCGATAGCCGAAACAATGGTGCAAAAATTATCATCCATAAGGACCATCTCTGCTGCACCTTTGGCTACATCGGTTCCTGTTATGCCCATCGCTATGCCAATATGAGCGGCCTTCAGTGCTGGTGCATCGTTAACGCCATCTCCCGTCATTGCAACCACTTCCCCTTGACGAGCCAACGAGTTTACAATTGCAATTTTATCCTCAGGCTGAGCTCGTGAAAAAACCCGAATTCGTTTTGTGATGGAATCGAGATCGTCCTCGCTTATGTGAGGTCTCAAAGCGTCTCCACCTTCATGAAGCTCTGAGCAAACGACAACTTGATCACAAGCTTCCAAATCCTCAAGATCTGCATCGCTGGGAACACAATTGGAAACACTCGTCTGGTTTTGCGACTCACTTTTTGAGAAGTCCTATTGATCTACCAATTGCGGCTGCAGTACACTTTTGATCTCCTGTAATCATGATAACCTTCACTCCGGCAGCAGCGCACTGATCAACCGCCTCTTTCACACCAACACGGGGAGGGTCGAGCGATCCCAACAGCCCAAGCATCACCACTGGGCCCTTAAGCAAGAAACTCAGCCGCTGGTCGGCCTCTGGCATCGCGCGAAGCGTATGGACGTTTTCGGTGGTGAGAGGGATCAACGTGAACGCAAGAACGCGAAGAGCGTCTCCAGACATGCGGTCGTTGAGAGAGAGAATGTACGAGAGTTCATCCGCGGAAACGGACGGCGTGTCCCAATCGACTTCCATTCGTGCCCCACCGGAATTTTTCACCAGGTACTTGACTTGCTGAGAAATCAAATAAACAAATATTAACCGGAGACAACAACGAAGCACAGAATTGACAGAAAGGTCTTTTCGACTGACCTGAGCAAGGCGGTCTGGTGCTCCCTTTATCAATGCAACGAATGGAAAGGACACAGTTGAACTCATTCCTCCAATAAAAATTCGATCAAAGTAACTCTCCTGGCGCAATCGGTGGACTGTTGCCATCATTTTACGCGATGAGTTAAAAGGAACTTCTAATTCTTTGATCGCTGGATAAATCAAATTTGGGTCATCACCAATTCCTTCAATACTGGACCATCTTGCTTTCGCAGCAGCAACAACGACAGACCCTTCCGACATGTTACCCCTCGCAACCCACGCATCAGTCTCCTTGTCCTTTTCAAGGTGGACAGTGGTCGAGTTGAGAAAACCAGCCAAGCACGTCGCGCGGACCATCTGAGAGAACAATGTAAAGGAAATCTATGGTATTCGCCAACTCACATGTCCGCGCAGACTATCGTGCTTTGGATTTCCAAAATCAGTCGAGATGTCGTCAAAATTGTGCATCTCACGGGTCTCCCACTTTGCTACGATTTTCTTCCGCACGTCTTCAGTCAGTGCAGATTCCAAAAAAATTCCCCCATTCGGATCGAATCCCTTCGTTGGGAAAAACCCAAAGATCTCGCCGAGATGCTTCCTATCCCATGGCTGGTCAGCAGCGGCTGTGCAGCCGATTCCCCTTCCTAGGACAGCAAGTTGAATAGCCGTCATCTTCCCTTCCGTCAGCGTTCCTGTCTTGTCGGAACAGATCACGGTGCACGATCCCAGAGTTTCGACGGCGGGCAACTTTCGAACATTCGCTCGACGTGCAACCATATCTTTACATCCGAGAGATAGACAAATTGTGACAACCATGGGTAAACCCTCAGGAATTGAAGAGACACAGAACCCCACTGCAACGAGAATTATCTATACAGAAGACAATATGAGTCACTGAGAAATTGTTAGTGTTGAAACTTACAGCTAATGTAGGATCCATGTCGGGATGAGATGGGTCCCTGTATCCCGTCACAATTGCGATAATAACAATAATAATGAGAACTGAAATCGCTATGATTGCGATCAGACCGCCAAGCTTGTTCAGTGCGCGCTGCATAGGAGTCAGCTTTGAACCTCCCTTTGACTCTTTTGCTAATTGTTCTGCAATTTTGCCGACTTGAGTGTCCATTCCCGTTGCGTACACGAGACTCATACAATTGCCATTTGTGATAGAAGTTGATGCGAAACACAAATTTGTTGCAAAGGGTGTTTCATTGTCCTTCGAAATTAGCGATTTCTTAACGTCTTCCGATTCGCCTGATGAAACTCATGAAACCATCGTTCTCAGAATGAAGAACGCCTACCGGTAAGAATCGCTTCATTTGCTTTGAGTTCTGATACTCTGATGCAGCGCAAATCAGCTGGAACCGAATCTCCCGTGTCCAATTTAACGATGTCGCCCGGAACCAAATCTATTGCCTCTATTTCAACAAATTCACCATTTCTCAAGACTTTGCAATGAGGAGCAGCCAGCGACGCTAACTTTGCCAAAGCGTCGCCAGCGGATTTTTCCATATATGTAGCTAAACAAGCATTCAATAAAATTGTAAGTAAGATTGCCACGCCTTCAGCCCACTGCTGAAAAGCCAGAGGTACTACAGCGGCAACGCCAAGAAGGATCATAATGGGGTTCATGAACTGTTCTAAAAATAGCCTCCAAACTGGGACACGCTTCTCCGTCTCTAATATATTTGGACCGTACTTTTCGCGGTTAATGAGAACCTGATCGTCGTCCAAACCCGTATCTACATTCGACTCAAATTCCAGGAGAAGGTCCTCCACGGGAGATGAACTCCATCTGTTTCTTCCACATGGCTGTCCGACATTCTGTTGCACTCTCGCAAATGCAGCAGGATCTGTTTGTCTGGCGTACTCGACGAGGTCCTTTAAACTCAATTGAGAGCGACTCAATCGCTCAACAATTTCTTGAGTCTCGTTATCAGCATAATCCGAAATATTCCAAGCTGACCCTTCGTGAAATTTCTCACTCAAATTTCTCGATGGCGTCGAGGTTAATAGCATCTTTGTAGCGAGATTGGTGTGAGCGCCACTCAGCGCCCTCCGGGGGACGTTCGAGCCCGATCTATGCATGGCACTGGCAGAAACGGAATAAATGTCCAACAGAGAAAGTCAGATGCATGTAGACGAGGTGTTCAGGGTGAAGCACAAAAAATCAAAGGTCTGTCAGAAACATGAATCAAAACGTTGCTATTGGGGCGGCGAGTTGGGAGTTGATCCCATCCTGGTTGGTTGCGCGTTTCCACCGCTGTTGGTGGCAGATGGAGCTTCGGGTGCATCTGGCGTCCGTTGCGCTGCCGCAGACTCCTCTCCCATCTGGTGGGAGATCCAGGCTTCTGCGTTCTGTACTCCACTTGAGACCGTTTCTCCGAGGGAGTGGGCTGTAGCCTTTGCTTTCTCTCCGGCATTTTGCCAGAAATGCTCGTCCTGCAAAGCAGCTCGACGTGTCGTATAACAGCACCCGGGGCACGTACCTGTACGGCAGTCACTGCTGCTCGGCTTTTGTCGCCAACCCAAGCTGCCGAGCTACTTGCCGCAGTTTTGAGGGACTCCAATACTTGCTGATCTTGGATGGTCACAGCTGCGGTTGAAGCAGCAGCTTTTGTCGATTCCCAAATTCCCGAAAGCGCTCCACCAACAGACCAGTTAGACCAATCTGGTGCTGGGGCGTTCCACGTACTTCCAGATCGGAAAGAAGAACCTCTAAGAGAGACGAAAGACTAACAGCGAACAGCAAAAAGAAACCTACGCTGTATCTGCTGTCGTGGAACTCCGCGCTGCGTTCCCTGCTGAGAAACTCATACTAGGTGAGATTTGTCGCGATCGCTCACCTTCCTCATCTTCGACAATCGCACCAACTCCTTCAGGAAGGGGAGGAGGAGCTTCACGGCCTTCAGCGATAGCCTTCAGCTGCGAACATCACAGTTGTTTGCAGGAGCGAATATCAAGGAACTTACAGTGAGGCGATAATGGGCAGCGGCTCTAGTATTGTATTTCTTATTTATAGGAAAGCCATCAATTCCCTTCAAATGAAAAGAAGATGGTTTCACTGCACCTTATGTGTTAAATTACTTGCTGAACAAAATACGCTTTGCATTTTGAATTGCCACCACAAGTCATCAGACTCTTCTTATCGGCGGCCCAAGCATCCAAAGTTGCTGAACGAACGAAAGTGATATGGACTCCAAGACTCCTACCGATAAAACGAACGTTGAAAACAAATCGTACTTATGTGGGGTTTACCTGTGGATTCCAGAGCACATTAAACAGATAAAAATTCCGTGAGAAACGGAAGCCCATTGCGGATTGGACTGTCCTAAAAGGCAGATATTGATCATGTGAGAAAGCAAAGAAAGTTTGGTCTACCACAATCAAAACAACGAAGATTCTCAGGATCTTCTTCTCTAAGGTGTTTGAAAAATTGCTGCGTTTCAGCATCCATGTTGTTGAAAAGAGTGAGGAAGGATGAATGACTAAATCTCCAGCAGGGACAGCAATAGAAAAAGGATCACTTAAATTACCACCCCGTCCTTATTAGTATAAATTTCTTCACTAGCAGTTCAAGTGTTCAACAAAAATGTTCGATTTTTTTTGGTTTTCGTGGACTCAAACATACACGATCGCTGTCTCGTTGCTTCTGTGGGTGGCATATTGTTCAGATACCAGCACTCACCAACTCTTAACTTGCAGCTTCAGACAGGTCGAACCAAATACGCATTGATTTTTTTGTGGCACGCACCTGTCAGTTCTCCTGAAGTTTGATCTTGATTTTCACACCAAGGAGGCAATTTTCCTCTTGAATGGTTTCCCGGGGCAAAAAGTTTTCCATAGGCTGCCTTGCCTACATAGCAGTTTGGTTGACATTTTGGAACGCCTTCAATAGCTGTCAAATTTGCTCTCTCATATGGAAGGCTGTAAGGAGGCAGAACATATGTTCGCCTCATTTCTCGCTTTTCTTTTAGTCCCCAATTTTGTTGATCGTTGCCTTGGGCGTGTATTCAGTTGGTTGCGTTCTTCTTGGTATTTTGAGGTTCAATAATTGCCCTCAAGAGACTGAGAAGTTGAAACGGGTAAGTGCTCGCACTTCCAAACGATTCCATTGTTTTGATCAGGAAATCGATGAGGCTGGAGCGCGTCTTCGCTCGAAAGGCTTTCACTTTCAGCGTTAGATTTACTCCTTATCAGTTTTGATTTTTCAAACTTGATCTGATAATTAAGATAATCTTCTAAAACTTCTTACAGAATCAAACTTTCGGAGCTTGTTTTATAATTCACAGAAGGTACCAGGTTTTCTGCAAACAAACAAATGGGGTAGCATCAACCATTGAATCCCATATATGAGTGTTTGAACTAACAAAGATAAAGCTTGATGGTGATTTATGAGAATTGACGGGCCGGATAGACAGGAATCCTGGACTTAAATCAATTTTACTTGATTCGTTATTCATATGGATGGAACTCTCAAAGACACTCATCTTCCCAGATACAAAGATAATTACAATCTAAATACGGATTATGAAACCAGTAGGCTTAATGGAGCTTACGGATTTCCCCAAACCAGAGAATCCATGAGACACGCAAGATCTGTGGAGTTCAACCAGGAGGATTTCAATGGAGACAGATATATTATTGAAAATTGGAGGGAGGAAAGGAAAGATCAAGAAATTCCCGAAAGTTATATGGGACAGGCAGTGAAATTTGAAAAGAGTGGTGATAGAATGCAAGGCTTCCTGTACAACAATTCTCTTATGGGATCTCTTGATGGGTCGTCAATGGATGACCTAATTCCTGCAGAGGAAGATTGGAATTCAGAAGGCTTTCAGAATAACAGAATTTTTAATTCTGCTGACCGATACAACAGAGAAGACCTAACACCTTCCACAAAAGTCACATCAGAGGCCACGAACGATTTCATCCCAAATGTGTCCCACTCGAGTCTATTCAGCTCGATATTTACCGGAGGAGGAGGAATCGGCTCGAAGGTCACTCACGAAAGACTGACCGAAGAAACTGGACTGATCGCCAGGCGTGCTGAAGAGTCTTCGAATGGAATTCCAACACTCCGCAGGGAAGAACCCCCAGGTTCTGACGTTTGCATGGGAATGCATCGCAGCGATGATGGATGTCAGGATCACAAGTGGCACTCACATATGAGGCAGGAATTTGAAAGACTTGGACTAAATCACGCTCTCAATATGACTATCGAATCGGTCGAAGTAAAACAATTGTATGACGCTATTCGTTCGCTGAGTCGAGAAATCGTTGAGGATCTGTTTGTATCGGAAACTTTGGGACTTGTGGAATTTACAAACGGAAGACAAGAAATCTCAACAAGCGAGAGAAAATTTCGACAATCTCTCTATAATTCAGTTTTTATCAATCCAACTTCAAATTCCATCCAAATTGAAAGGGTCACTGACCCATTGCATCATACGAGACTCTCGACTCCGAGCGAAAGACCTGTTTTCACGTTGCGATACAGAAATCTGATCAAGAGAGAGAAGAGCAGCAAATCAAACCAAAGACTCGAAAAAGACTCTTCATCGCCAGAGGGAGATCATGAAACCCACTTGTTTGACGACACCAACAATGTGAAGGTATGTCTTCATGGATTTCGATATCTTTCATCGATTTGTTATCCTCTTTTTTCCAGTCTCGGCCTCCCATGATTTTTGGGACATTGTGGGGAGTTATTCGTGACCTCTCTTTCAATGCAAATTCAGAACATCCCACTCTCGCACCAATCGACATGAAACAGGATCCTCTTCAAAATACTTCTGTTCATCACGCTCTCCCTCGTCACGATTGGCTTCTCGGAATTCAAATTGGGAACGCACCAAGTGAGTGACATGACGAGTTGCCCTCTTGTTGATTGTTTTCTTTCAGACATTTCATTCTGCCCAACACTCAAGTTGAATACGAGAGTCATCGATTGCAGGCAAGCGACTACTCCCGTCTTTTTTGTTAATCATTTTGAGTCGCTTTGGGATCCTTTTCATAAATCGATTCTAGACGCTCCTTCACCAAATCTTTCGCTTGAATCGGAAGTCTTTCAGCTTACTTCCATCACCACACCTCCCCGTCCTGTTTCCTCCTCGTGGTCACTCTCGAGTCCCAGAATTAATCCCGTCGCTCCCATCTCGATGTTTGGCACCCACCATGAATCTCCAATTTCTAATGCTTCTGCTTTTTCTTTGGACGTTCGACGTCCAAATTGTCGCTTTCACGTCGTTTCTATCCGCGGACTCCCGTTTTTTGTCTTGACGAACATATCCGGGGTTGAAATCAATGAGGGCGATGAACTTCTGATCGACAAGGGAGACATTTGGCAAAAACAGAGACGCCGTTCGGATTTGCCGCTTTTGTGGAATGAGTTTCTGTCCAATAGAGGTAACAGAAATCAGGGAGCTAGAACGTTCAAAAATTGTCTCTTCCTCTTCTTCAGCGCAGTCAAAAGTTCGTGTTCCTCTTTCTTCCCTTTTTGATGAAATTCCTCGCTGGTCCGTCTGCCACATTTGTTATCGAACACTAGGGAGCAACAGTTCCTTAACACTCACTTGCGATGGCTGCCAAAAGCCGTTTCATTTTTCATGTTTGCAATATTCTTTTGGTTGGCCTGATTCACAAAAACCTCCTCCGCCGAATTGCGAATGGTTTTGCACAAGATGTCGCGACTTTGCGAGGTGAGTATCTGAGATTCTTCTGTCCCTTCGAGCGATTCTCTCTTCAGACGAATTCAAACATTCTACAATCCCTCAAGCGATACAGGAAGTCATCAGACGAATAAGGGGCATAGGAAGCGTTCAACTGCTCGAACATCCTTGGCTACAAAAAATTTCAGTCGACTGTTGAGAGGCGATGAAACACCACTTCGTCGTTTAAGACCTTGCCGTGAGTGTCTCTCCAGCGCGGGTCCAAATATGGCGAATTTGAACGTTATCTGCCGCTTGTATAAGGGCCACCTGAAAACCAACGCTTCCAACCCAGAAAGCCCACGAGAAAAGCAAGAAGAATGCAGTCAACTTGAAACACCCCTTGAAGTGAAAAAGCATGGTGAACTACTCATGGCGAGGGCGATTCTTGAAGCAGGTAAGATGATTACTGAGAAAATAACAAATTTTACAACAAAATATTGAATGCGTTGATCATCACCGACTCTGTTGCAGTGACAGCGTCTTTGGTCGCATCGGAACGGCGCAACTGGTCGATTCAGCAGCAACTCGCTGCGGTGAAAAGTCAACGAGACGAACCTCTTGCAGGCGAAGAAATGTCGAGGTAGAATTTCAGAAGGAGTTCAATTGCTTCTATTTGTTGTTTCTTGTTTAGTGCAATTGAATTTTGGAGAACGACAAGGAGACGATTTGACTTGTATCAAAAACGTCGAGAAGAAATTGTTCCTGACATCCCTATCGTTGATAGTTATGAAGTAGCGCACACGAAAACATCAACCTCAGCAGCTCGATCGCGACATGCAGAACGTTATTTGGTTCCTCCACTTTCATCATCAGATGAGGGAAGCCCGTCCCTTATTGAGGGAGGTTCAGATGATGGGACTCTGATTGTCCCAAAAAGACGAAGAGGACGTCGATCCAGTTATGATAAACATGTTGGAATGAGTGGTGCATCAGCATCTGCGGGTTTAGTCAACGCAACCACCAGTTGCAGACCACAGTCAATGGCTCGGTCACTTCTGAGAGATGAATTTGAACCAGATAAAGCGGCCGCATGTATCGATAATCCAGTTAGTTTTAATGAAGCAAATGCAACAGCAAAACGGCTGAGACCTTGGCCAAGAGGAATTTCTTGGAATTCAAAACGATTGACGTGGTCTGTGCGGTTTTGGAAAGACGACGGAAGAACGTTAATTGCAACATCACTACCAGCCCGGAAACACGGCGGAGTTGATGAGGCGTTCAGAAAAGCCGTTGCCCTTCGAAATCGGAGCTTCATTCATGTGCTCACAAGAGTGGCATCAGAGTGTGAAACTGGAGATAGAAAACTACGAACTCTTCACTGGAGTCGCTCAAACCAACAGTGGGCAGCAGAATACGATGGGGAGGTGAAAGTTTGGAGAGCAGAATCCGAGGAAGATGTTAGGAATCATTGGCGTGCTGCTGTTCAATGGTTAACAGAACAAGGGGACGCTGAAGCCGCGAAAATTGATGTTGAAGCTGCAGAGCTGAGTTTTTCAGCAACAGTGACAAGAGCACCACGATGGCTTGGGAATGATGCATCGATGGTGAGTTGCGAAACAAGCAGAGAGACAGATCTTGATGGAGATCAGCGACACGTTGCGCCGACTGAAGCACCCCTTGCGGCTAGTAGAGGAAGACGAAAGACATCCTTGGTATTGGCAGAAGCAGCATATGAGGATCCCAATGAGGATGGTTTATATGCAGTTGATGATCCTAGCAGCATTGAAGCAATGGACACAGAAGCCAGACGAGCCAGCCATGCAACGGCTGTTGCAGCGCTGCACCCTTTTCCTTCGGGTTTAATTTGGGCGAGAACGACGAGCCGATTTTTCGCAGTTTTTAAGGACCCAAACAGTTCGTCCATCATCAATAAAAAGAAAAGGTTCAAGACATTTGACCCCAAGAAATTTGGTGGCATTAATGGGGCGTTTGAGGCTGCGTCAGATTTTTTGAAGACCGTCGAGCCTTGGGAAACGAAGACAAGAGGTGGAGGTGACGGAAAATCTGTGCGAAGATCTCAACTTCCAAAACGTCGAGGAAGGGGTCGAAGATCACAAGCTCAACTCATACAGCGCGATTCCAGGGCCGGAAAAATGACTCCGGAATTCGCGGAACCACTTCCAACCACTTGTGAGGAATTTGAAATGATGCATGTGTCTTCGGATAAGAAGTTACAAGGTCAGGAATCCATGAGAGATGGTGATGAAGAGGAACGATTGCAAGGCAAGTCATAGAGAGTCTAGAAGGGTGAAGTGATGAACTTTTATTCTTTAGATGATTCTGTTCAAGATGACGCGCCAGCTCAAGAAGTTGATCAGCATCTAGGAAGCAACAATAGCATGGAAATAGAGCGCTTTGGTGCGCCTGAACTTCGCGATCGACACGCCGAAGAATTACATTGGTTACCAGCGTGCGACTCAATCCGGTGGTGCCCTGATAGAAGAGGATTTCTTGCAACTGCAGACGATGGGAAGAAAAAGTGGTTTCCGCTTAGAACTGCGTTAGTGTGAGGAAATAGGGATTCGCACTGATTTCCTCTTTCTGCAGAACGCCTGTTTCAACATGGCATTTAGCTTTCTTGTGGCTTGAAGAACGAAAAGAGAATCTGGAAAGTGGAGTTCCGCAGTATCCCAATGAGAGTGAATCGGACCGAACTATGGAGCAAGTGGCCCCGATGAGTCTTGAAGAATCAATTCCGCTTGAATGCGAACTGGATGGTGAAGGCGATGGGGAGGCAGCTGGGAGGAGAATGTCTCTTGCAGCAGATCCTTCAGAATATGGAAGTGGGACGGATGGGTCCTCAAGAGTCCAGCTAAAACACCGAAAGAGAAAAAGACAAAAACAGCCCCGAGAAGGAAAAAAAAGAACGGTATCGCGTCGCAACATCAGTCATTATGAAGATGAAGAAGATGACGTCCAATCTCGACGAGCTTCAACCTTAAAACGTCCGCGATTTGATTCGAATGCAAGTCAAGTTAGCTTGGACTCGGGGGTGTCAACCAACTTCCCTCATCACTCGCGATTGTTGAAACACGTCAAAGAAATTCAAGAAAAGTGTTTGTATGATTCAGCAGATTCATGTGAAGATGCAGATCAGCAAGCCAGTCAGCTTGAAAGATTTAGCAATATTTGTTGGGTTCCACAAAAACAAGTAAGAAGGACTTGTTGGTTTTGAGTAATCGAGATATTTTGTTTTTCAGGCCTTTTCCGTTTTCTATACTAAAGATTTTTCATCAAACACGAAAACAACGAAAGCATTCAACCCCCTCAACTATAATGGCGTTAAACGCGCTTACAGACAGGCTTGCCTCTTCGGGCTTCAAATGGTTCAACGAGGAGGATTTCATCTTGAAAGCTCAAGTCCAGATCATGAAGACGATTCCAAGAATGATCCAACGCCACTCTCAGACCCCTCGGATGGCTCGTTGTAGAATTACTTTGATTTTTGTTATTAATTTGTTTTAAGCTCCTTCAATTGTTTTATTCAGCTTCATAGATTTTAGAATTTATTCGGTTCGTTGGAAACTGGGTGTGGGAAAGTGATGCTCATATTTTTCTGTTAGCGTGCGCTCGAGTCAGCTTACACAAACAGAACACAGCAACAGTTCTCAAACACTTCAGACCCCCTGTACTCTGAATCGCATCAGTTGAAACAGTTAATGGTGGATAAAACTGAATTGAGCACGAATAATGGAATACAATCTCAAGAGGACTCAATTCTGACAGCCAGATGCTGTGAGTATTGAGGTTGCTGGGCACGGATCTCTTCCGGAGACATCTGAACGGAGACAACGAGGATCATGAGAAATGGCATTATGAGCATCTGTGATATTCTTCAACTGTGAATCGGATGCCTTACAGAGTCGTCCGGGGGGTCGAATATCAAACGACCCCCACCTCTTGCTGCAGCCAGTGCTGTAGAAAGGAGACCGGGAAGCCGAGAAGAAGCAGCAGGGGCAGATGTTGTCTGAGAAATGGAGTTTGCACAGCCACCACAAAATGTTTACTCACAGAGAAGTCAGCTCCCGAAGGATGCACACCGATTGACGAGGCTGACGGCAGCGTTGCTGGGACTGAGGGAAGTTGTGGTTGGGAGGGAGCTTGAGGGTTTGCAGGATCAACTTTGGGAGCTGGTAAACCAAACATGGCTGTAAAGGCTGCTTGAGGGCCTTGTTGCATATGAGCCATGAATTGGTTCATTGCGAATGGATTAGGTTGCCCTAAAAACAGACAGATAAAAAACTTCAGTGACTGCTATCATAAAACCGCTACAATCAAACATCCTTTGTCTTATAGATAGGAGTTACGTACCAGACATTTGATTCATCATGAATTGAGGTGGGACTGGTGGTTGCATCCCTCCAAGCATTGCTGGAGGGGGCTGAAAACCAGGAGGAAGGGGTCCTCCCATCATTCCTGGGATTCCATGATGTGCTTGCTGTTGCATTTGATTAAAGAAGCCACTCATTATAGACATGCCGAATGTTGTATGCGCGGATTTTGAGTGTCTGACCGCACCGCGTTCTTCATCTAATTTTGCCTGCTTCTCATTCAGTAACTCGATTGGGACACCATCCATGCCATGAATGATTAAATCGGGGTTATCTCTTCCATTGCTTGAATTTGGGACACGACTGATTGTCTCCTTATGAACTTGGAGCATATGGACGACCAGTCCTGTCGCCGTATCTAACTTTCTGTTGCACGAGCTGCATTTGAAATGTTTTGCCTTTTGATGTTGAATCAAAACTTTCTCGTCGTCAAATTCGCGCTCACAATAAAAACAAAAGGGCTTCAACTGAGCTCTATTGCGCTTTTTTCTCCCCATTTGGATTAACCAGTTTGGCTTCTGTGGGACAACTTTTGACAAGCGGGACTAATGAAAAAGGTTCCACCTTTTGGAGAACAAATGTGTTGATGATGAGGACCCCACTCATACACAAGGAGACGTGGTTTTAGCATATGGCGTACATCTTACACCGCTGCTGTTGAATGTCAGACGACGTCGCAGATAGTGAAGTTTCTTGATGAAATGGACTTCAGTGGAGAGAATCAGGGTTTCGCCCTTCTTGAGGTTCACATAGCCGATCATCCACCCTTCTCATTCTTCCTTCAAACTCTCCGGCTGGCTGTGGGCCGTGGATCTGAAAGTACTCCAGAAGCGAGTCTCACCGTCGATGAACAATTCGTGGGTGAGTCGACGTGTAGTGGATCATTCATTGGTCCAATTTCGCAGGAAGTCCTTCCAGCAATCCACTTTGCCGAGTTTCGACACTTTTTGTTACAAGTCGAATCAAACAAGTTTCTAAAAAACACTTTTGTATTCATTTTGATTTCAAGTCTCAACGTTGGATTCTTAATTCTGTCGGAAAAAATGGTGTGATTGTTGACGGTGTAAGAACTGTTGCGGACACGCATCTCCCATCAGATCAATCAGCGTTCCTGTCTATGGCTCGCGGTGAAGTTGTTATCATATGGCGTCCTGCTGTCACTTCTGAATGAGATATCGATCCATTTTTGTGGTGCTTAAGCCTTTTTGGTTATTTTGGCCTTTAATAATTTCATCAGTTTACAAATACAAAAATTAACACAAATTAATAAAAATAGCGTCAAAACGATTCGATGGAACAAGAAAGGAGATTGCGGAAACAAAACAATGAGAGTAACGATTCAAGGGGGGGGGGGCACCTTTCTAAAACAGATTACCAGGCTTGTGTCAGTTGCTGCTGGGATTGCTGAGGGTGTGCTTTCCATTGTTCCAAAATTCGACCAGATTTCTCCCAAACAGCGAAACTTCCAAACCCTTGAGTGACATGATGAAGATTGTAGAGATACGAAAACCCTTCACAATTCTTCACGAGTTCTACGCAAACATTTCCAGGTTGATTCAGAAGTTGTTGCATCTGTTTTCCAAACTCCAAAATGTTATCAAGAGCTTCAAGAGCGACTTCAAGGATCTGATTGAACCAGAATCAATGGATGAAAAAAGAAGTATTGGTTCTTACTTTGAGGTCATCGATTGTCAACATTTCACAAACAGGTTGAACGCAATGACTAGAAATCAAATATTCAAGATGCTCTTGCTTTCTTGATGTGCACGCATTGCAAATTGCCCATGCAGCTTCTTTTTTGACTTCAAGCTCATTATCAGACCGAAACACTTCAACCAGTTTAGGGATCACCCCTGCCGATAACACCCCCTGCCATAAGTAATGCATTTCCTTAGTTCAGTGTTACTTGGTCTCTTACTTGCAACTGAGTGGCAGATCCGGCCGAGATATTCGAGAGGGTCCAACATGCGTCTTTCCTAATGCTCTTGCGTGGAGAATCGAGAAGAACTTTAAGGTTGAAGAGAACTCCATGATCAATGACTTCTTGCGTTTGTTCCGTATCCCCTGCAGCAATTTGTCCGATGACTCTGAGTGCAGGTCTTTGAACTACTAATTCACGATGCGATAAAAGACGACACAAAATTGGAACGACGCTATGAGAGAGCATTGTGGCAATACCTGAAAACAACATAACGGATCTCAGACTACATCAAACAGGCGTTTAATCGGAAGAGTATTCTTTTTACCAGTAGGATGTTCGCTCAATCCATCAAGAGCCCAGCACGCATCACTCAGAGTATCATCATCGGAGCTGCTATGCAAAACTTGAGACAAATAAGGAACAGCGGGAGAAACCAGTTGGAACTTGGGACGAGGCTTTCCACGGCACAAGTTCGACAGGCTCCACATTCCAGTTCTTGTTGTTGAAACGCGACGGCTTCGGCGACATGCATCAACAAACTTTTGAATAATTCCGGGAACAGCGAGAATTGCGTCTCTATAATCCGCACGATCACCCGCGATGTTACCAAGTCCCCACATTCCTTGCTCGCGGAGATCCTCGCGGGAAGAATCCAACAGACGAATGAATGACGGAATTGCACCCGATCCGACAACGACCTGCCACACGATATGATTTTAATAGCAGACATCGCACAGTCTCACTTCAGTTTGGGTTCCAGTTCCGCTGGCGATATTTGTTAACGCCCAGGCAGCCTCGAATTGTAGAGACGGATTTTCGCATGAATCCCCAGCAGGGCTGATGAATTCGACAAGTTTTGGGACAACCCCAGTGTCGATAACAGCCTGAATTGGAATCTCTCCACTGACGCTCAGCATCATCCGAAATTGCTTGGTTCCTTCGTAGCATTCGGAAGCATCTAACGATTTCACTCTTTCGGCTGTTTGCAGCCAATAGTCCTTTTCCAGATTTAATCCTCCAAGCGCTCGAATCAACTCTTCAACATCAGCAGAGTGTTGAATTCGTTTCTCACGATACCCCGTCGACTCATTCAGTAAACATTGTTGTGCGCAAGAATATCCACTTTGAACTTCTCGTTCCTCTTCGCAGGCTGAACTCTCAAACAACATGGAAACGTTAAGATATAAAACCGATTAATATTTCAGAAAACAGGATTAAGATAAGAACAGGGAGCAATGTTTATATCGTCATAAAATAGATCATTAGAATGCCATTATACACACGTCTGCTTTGTATTACTCCTGTGTCTAGTTAGAGGAAATTATAGAAAAATTACTGAGACTGTCTATGCGATGATGTAATCAAGGCTCATGCCTTATGGGTCAGCAGAAAAACAGTACTTGTGGCGAAGCCCGAGTAAAAATAACATGGAGGTGCTCAAGGAAGAACTCCCTCAAACACTGTGGTCGTGGGTAGCCTCGCTCATTTTCGCTTCAGTCGTAACAGGAATTGGCTTCTTCTGGATTCATCGATGGCATGGATCAAAAAAAGGAAGAAAACGAGAGAAGCCGGATGAAGTGGAAGAGATGCCATCCAAAAAACAGCCAAAAAAGAAACCCCGAAAAATTCAGAATCCAAAAGAGAAGATGATAGTGGCTAAAGAAAAGGCGACGCAACACCCATTGTACATAACGACATTGAAGGGATTCACCCATGGGGTCACTTGTGTATCAATTAACCGAAGTGGCACGATGATTGTTGTTTCATCAAGTGATTCAACTCTACGCGTTTTCATCGTCAGTGATCCTGAGAATCCGGTTGAATCTCTACAAAAGCAAACATACATTCGAGGTTCGATCAGTGGTGATTATTTCACTGCAGTGGATTTGTCGGTGGACGACTCTTACATATTTGGAGCTACAGAGTTGAGCTGTAAATTGATCAAACTAGGTCGTAAAGATGACCGCTCGGAGTTTGAACAAGTAGGAACCATTTTTGCAACAGAGATCCCCCGTTGCCAGTACTCATTCGATGTCTTCTCAGATTGCGCAGTCCGCAACAGCAATACACAAAAATTCTGTTCGGTGGCTCACGGCATCAAGGGGACGGTGGATTGTAACAGCATCATTAGAGACAGATACAGAAATCAAAGTATTTGATTATTCCCTGAACTTGTTGGCTTCAGTGGATACAAAACAGCTCAAAAATGTTCATCTTGGTGCGTCTCCATCTGTAAGTGTGTGCCTTGGTTGAATCTCAGGGATTTTCTCTGCATTAGGACGCTAGATTTTTTGGCGCTGCTGCTTGGTCACCTGGTGTGAAAGTGATGGAGATTGCGTCTAATTCACAAAGTCACGAATTCAAGAAGGTAATTGAGTTCGATCTGTAGCTCTGGTCAACACATGGGCTGTTGATTGATAGAAAAACGGTGTTGAATGAAAAGAGTCTTTGATTGCCTTTCAGTTGGTGAAAGCGATGGATCTCGCAACACCTTGCGGGGTTAACGCGATCGCGTTCAGTTGCGATAATAAGAAAGCACTCCTAGCGTGTAAAGAAGGAACTTTGATATTATGGAATATTGATGTCAGATACGAAGTAGGTGATACTTTAGCTCATGAACCAACATATTGTGTTTTTGTTTTTACAGGTGAATGAAGATCCAAAGCAACTCTTAACCGTCAAGGAGGAGCTGACACCAGATTTCAAAGGGTATTCACAATTGAATTTCAGCGCTGATGATTCAATAGTCATCGGAATCGCAAACAGAACAATACGGTTACTCAAGACGGAGGATTTATCGGTAGGCTCATCTGCACCTCTTTAGCGTCGCTCATTTCCTTTTCAGCTTATCGAGGTTATTGAAGAAGCCCACACAGGGCCAATACGATTTTTATCCGTCAGCCTAGTTGGACCATTTTTCGCGACCACTACGGTAAGTTCGCCACTTTCCTCTATTTATCAAGGGCTTCTATTCAGGTTGATACAAAACCACATGTATGGCGTCTTCCTTTGCTGTAAACCTTTTTCTGTTACTTTTATCAAGTTTTTGGTAATTAAAACTGAATATGTTTGCTAGAACCACAAATTCTCAAAGATCGGAATGTTGATGAAATTCACAATGAATAATAAACAACTAGCAAACAAAGAGAAAACAATATTTTGAAGGCTTCTGCTGAATACCTGTGCGGAGCACATGAATGGACAACATATAACAAATGAATCGCTAGTGGACATCTGGATATTCTGAAAAAGTGGGTCAGTGGAAGTGCTTGAATCCTCAAGAGATGCAGAAGATGAAAACATCACTTGAGTTGATTTGTCTTGCCGTTGCGATTTCGGAACCATCGAAAGATGAACTGCGGGTTTGCAACAAAATGGACCAATACGCGATAGAAGCGACACTGGATTGGTTCTTGCAACCGAGAGGTGGGGCTTCTCCTCTAAGACTGGATGAATCGACGTATTTGAAATCACGGGTGTTGTTTGTAGCAATCTTGGAATTGGATCATTTTGGATTTGGGAATTAATACTGAGAGATGTACGTTTATTATGATTTGATGTCTTGAATTCACATATGGAATTTAATTTTGTAGCTTCGAGTTTTCTTGAATTTGTGTCACAATAAGACAATGAATAAAACGGAACATCATTTTGCTCTGAACTTGAAGATCTATATCGAGGCAAACACCAGGATGATCGATTGACGATTTTGGGACCATTTGATTTGAAATTCCTCCAATACTCTGATAATGGTGACAACGAAGAGAGCGGACTAGAAATCTCACACGCATCTGAGGTTCTGTTGGCTTGGTTCTGTTTGATGGGCAGAAGCGGTGACCCATCAGCAGCCGGAAATTCTGAAAGTGAGGGCGAGCCACCTTGACCATCGGTTTGGGTGGATTGGCTTGTTTTTGACTCGATCTGAGAATGGTTGGTCACTGAAAGAGAGGAAGGGCTGGCTGGTGAATTGCGTCCTCCTTGATGTTCTCGAATTCGGGTTTTAAGGTTTGGGTCAACGAGAAACGGTTGAAAGACTTCGTTCAGAGCTTCATAAAGCGCCTTCTTCACAGGTTCCTCAAATCGAGTATTTTGTGATGGATTGTTAGGCGGGGATTCCAATGGCTTCTCCGAAAATCCAAAAATCTCCGAACTGTGGGTTCTTGACTCAAACTCTGATGCACGAAGCGTATTTGGAACGCTTCGAGCAGTATTAAGAAAGCTTCTTGGTGTCAATAGCTCCCGAGAATTGTTGCACGCCCCCATTCCTTCACCGAAATCAGAAGTAGAAACCCACGATCCATTCGACCATCGACGTTGTTTCGTGTTGATTGTTGGCGGAAAGACTCCAAGACGGGGATCGTCACTTCTTGAGTCATCGAAACCAGCGCCATCCCAGTAAGAGACAGAGGAACGTGGAGACATGGCGGATGTTGAGGCCATTGATGAGGAACCACGTAGACTCCCTCGGCTGTCGGCTGAATCGTTCAACTTTGACTGTTTCAATCGCTGAGATGGTTGACGCTTCTGTGTTGGAATTTCTCGTTTCAAATTGATTTGAAACTTTGGCTTTGCGGACGGCCTTCGTCTCTTCGCCGACCGCCGTGCCCTGCTTGAGGCAGTCGGTAGAGCGGAAGGATGACGTCCCGACAAATCGATTCTCGCTGCATTGATGATGACCCCGCCTACACGAGGGGCCGATTCAGCATGCATACAGCGGCGTCTCCAAAAACTACAGGACTATCCTTCCTCTCCTCTTCTACCTTGTTCTCAATGTGCGTCACAACGGCTTGGAGATTGACCCCAATCGTCGCAGCTGCGGTCAACAATTTCCTGTGCGTTTGCACTTATCTGAAACTGAGGGCTTCCGGCAAGACCACTGACTGCAGCAACACCGAACCCCAGAGCAGCAACGGTTGTTCTTAGTTTTGGTTTAAATTCTGATCTGGAGGCAGGGGGCGGAAATTGCTTATGGAGCCGAGAAGTTAATGAAGGCTGAACGGATCTCCCGCGTTTAGTTTTGAACCCATCATCCTTTAGGGATGAGGACAAATTGGGGACGCTATTTTGTCTGGAGAGACTCAAAACAGCAATATTAGTTTAAAAAATATTTTGTAAGTTGTCGCCTGGTGTCCCAAAAATTCACCCATCATGATTTTACCAAAACTACGTCCATTTGATTTCTTGGCATTTTCCATCCGTTGTTGCATAAATTGACGCTCCGTTGTCTGGATGAACAGCAAAAAGTGCCATAGACAGATCAGACGGAACGTCTATTGGGACCAAGCGGTCGTTACGCGAAAAATATGATTTCATCTGAAATAAAGGTCAGGGGATTGGGAATTGGGAAAATCGATTACCTTTTCCAAGAACTCGTCCAGCCGATTTTTATGAACAAGCGAAACTGTGCATCCACCCCATCCAGCGCCCGTCATTCTGCTTCCATAAGCTCCACTTTGGCGCGCCAGTTCTGTTACTTCAGACAGTTCAGGGCATCCACAGTCAAAGTAAAGGGATAAAGAGTCGTCTGAAGCGTCAAGTAGTTTTCCAAGTTGGACCAATTTCTCGTCTTCTTGAATTGCACTCCGGCAAATTGAAGCGAATTCGATAACTCGATTTGCTTCGGCATAAACATGAAGCACCCGTCTGACGAACAATTCAATATCAGAGCAACTGTTTTGTCCAAGGAGCCTTCAAGACTTGCCTTAAAGGATCGAACGAATAATTGCGTTCCCAAACGGCAGGACCCACAAATTTCAGCAAACTGTCGAGACGTGCAGTCCCTAAGATCTTTTGGATTTCTCGCTTTCCAAAGGGCTCGTTTTTTATGTATTTGCGTGCTGCATCAGAAGCTTCCTTCGTCGAGACCTTCAGCTTTTCCTGAACCAACTTCAAATTCAACTTCGGGGTCATTTCAGGCGCGATTTCTTCATTCGGAAACTCGCCTTTCAACATCAAATAACACGCAAGCTTCAATTCAAAAACTCGTTTGTTGTAACATGTTGCAACATGAACAGCCTTCGGAGCTTCGCGGCAAGAATTGCAGACTACGAGTGTGGCATTAGGAGGAAGGGGGACTGGCTCAGTAGTTAACGGATTGAAATGGATCAATCGCGCTGCTCCTAGAAATAATTGGAAGGTAAGAACTGCAACATCTGTCGAGTCTGATACTTGCCTTGTTCACTTAGAACGATTGCAGCTTGATCCATTCCACCTCCAGCCGTTCC